TATTTACATGTACATATACGCATTCATACACGTATATATATATATATACGTGTGTGAATGCGTATATGTATATGTAAATAGCTGACATTTGTCAACTGTTTGGCTGCATTTAAATAAACGCTTCTATTGTCATTTAGGAACTTTTTGTAAACTAAAGTGCTTTGATTCCATTATTTCAAGCTACGTTATCTCGTTTTCTGGTTGCATCTGTGTCATGAGTTGAAGTTGTGATTTATACCATACAAACGCCCTGCCTCTCTAATATATTGCACTGACCAAGAAGACCATACCCTGATGCATTTACGCTTGTTCTGTACTATCTTCCCTTCCCCAGTATACAATATCCTGATACCAATAGACTTTTCTTGTACCATCTTACTCTCCCCAGTATGCCATACCCTGAGGCATATTCACTTGTCTTGTACTATCTTCCGTTTCCCAGTATACCATATCCTGATACCTATGAACTTCCCTTGTATTACTTTCCCTGCCCCGGTATTTCATTTCCTGATACATACACGCGTGCCTTGTACTACCATCCCTGCCTCAGTATACAATATCCTTATACATATACGCTACTACCTTCCCTTCCCCATTATACCATATCCTAATACATACATGCTTGTCTTGTACTACCTTCCCTGCCCAGGTTGTGGCAGTAGCACGTACGGCTGATATGGTGATGTTTATGCTGGATGCCATGAAGGGAGACGTACACAAGCAACTGCTCGAGAAGGAGCTGCACGATGTAGGTATCAGAGTCAACAAACAACCACCGAACATCTACCTGAAGGTCAAGAAAGCCGGCGGCATTCACTACAATGCCACAGCCAAACAGACGAAGGGCCTGGACGAGAAGTATGTGTAGAGTGTATGTGATGGTGGGTCTGTATGAGTTCCTGTGTGCGTGTGTATGTGTATACTTATGTGCGTGTTTGTGCGTATGCGTATGCGCATTTTTTTGTATGTTTATGCCTATGTGCGAGTTGTGTAGCCTATGTGTTTGTATTTACATGCCTATGTGTTTGTATGTGTAGGCCTATTTTCTTTTTCCGTGTATGCTTGTGTGTTTGATTGTATATGTCTGTGTAATTGTATGTGTATGTCTACGTATTTGTATGTATATATATAAATATCTATACGCTGTTGGCTGATATTTTCATGACAGAAGCCGAAGAAGGAACGAGTGAGTATGATGGTTTTATGCAGATGAGGTTAGTGTGTACTATAAAAGATGTGTGACTTTCAGAGACACCAAGAGTGGTGGTCTGGCTATTGCAGGTTGGACTACGAATAGTCCTGCAAGATGACTGGATGTCCAACTTTTAAAATGATATGCACGCTTTACAACTACAAACGAACAATAGTGATACTGTACTATCACAAATTAACAAATACGGCTTGTGTTGGATTACAAAACGTTTATTTGGTACTGTTGCTAACCGTGGTGGTCTGCGTTGCTACAGGTTAACACAGATGATTCTGCAGGATTACAAGATGTTCAACTGCGAAGTAATTTTGCGAGAGGACTGTGACGCGGACGATCTTATTGATGTCATCACAGGCAATCGCATCTACGTACCGGCGTTATACGTGTACAATAAGGTATTGAAAACACTTCCGATTCAATGCGAAGGTTCTAATGCTTACATATCGAGAGATGTATTCAAGAATGCCACTGTTATTTACAATCATCCCCGACTGTACTTTACATACCTATCTTGTTATCCACTATCCAATGGCGCAGACTCTTTGCACTTGTCTCTCCAATGCGTTGAGGACGGATCAGTTCTCCCGTTTAATACCCAACCCCATTGTCTTTACCTTCTCTATACTTCAAAAATAAATCAAAATACATATTTTTTTAACGCATATCCTTCCGTCTCAATCCCCTCCAGGTAGATCAAATCACCCTGGAAGAAGTCGAGCGCCTGGCCCGCATGCCCCACAGCTTGGTGATCAGTTGTCACTGGGATCTCAATCTTGACCGCCTCATAGAGCGTATCTGGAACAACCTCAATCTCGTGCGTGTGTATACCAAACGGAAAGGGGTGGCGCCGGACTTTGACGACGGCATCATCCTGCGCAACGGAGCGACGGTGGAGCATGTGTGCCACTCCATCCACCGTACACTCGCAAACGACTTTAAATACGCGTTGGTGTGGTATGTGTTCGTGTGTTCGCACTGTGTCGTGTTTGCCTACGCAATGATGTCAAGCTTATACCGTGCCCTCACCTTTGGCTCAACGTACCTGTTGGGCGATGGTCCAGATCAGTGTTTTGTCGGCAGATACACGCTGGGTGTTGGGTGGGTGTTTGTTGGTTATCACGATATCTACGAACGCTGTAGTTGCGCTCGCCCATCTTGGTGTGTGTTCCGACCAGTCAACATGATGTTCCACAACTTCACACACGCGTGGGTCTGGTGTGTCTATTTAGAAGGCTATGTCTGGTCTAAAGTAGTGCGAATTGCCTTTTACACTACGGCGTGGGGTTGTGCGAGTGTGTGTGTTGTTACTATCCTAAACTTTTGTTCAAGACGATTGTGAATGCATTGGTTGGATGGGTGTTCCGATTGTTTGAGCTGATTCTGAACAACCATCAATAAAGCGGTGCTATCAATTAGCGCATGTTTAGGGTTTTAGGGTTTATAAATACACGGTGATATATAACGTGTTTAGCGCATGTTTAGGGTTTTAGGGTTTATAAATACACGGTGATATATAACGTGTTTAGCGCATGTTTAGGGTTTTAGGGTTTATAAATACACGGTGATATATAACGTGTTTAGCGCATCTGTTAGCGTATCGAGGCTGATCTGAATTGTCCCCAAAGGTACGCTGGTATCGTGAGCGTTTAAAAATGTTAATAAATACACGGTGATATATAACGTGTTTAGCGCATCTGTTAGCGTATCGAGGCTGATCTGAATTGTCCCCAAAGGTACGCTGGTATCGTGAGCGTTTAAAAATGTTATAGCACTGTGCAGTAACACTCACTTTGTCTGTGCTCTATTCATTCATCATCACGTTTACGTTTTAACTGTTTGTGCACAGGGGTAAGAGTGCCAAATTCAGTCCGCAACGAGTGGGTCTCTCACACAAGCTCGAGCCGGATGACGTTGTCCAGATTGTGAAAGTTATTTAAAAAAAATCTCATCGGGTACATATGTAATGTTAATAAAAAGAACTTATACACCGAATGTTTGTTGATGATACAGGTTGGTAGAGCCGTTTGAAGTCCCAAGTGTGTGCGAAGCGTCTGATATTGACAACTAACTTCCTTCCTGTGCTTAAGGCGATCAGAGAACCCGTAGCTTATATGGGACAAAGGACCAAATCAATTTATTTATTATTCTAAAAGACCTCGCAGCTGAGTCAAAGATGTCCTAATTCAGTACTGGTTGATAGTCCCGTTTAACAAAGACCTGAAAAGTCCCAAGCAGGTGCACAGACTATTCTGAATGCCGCTCAATAACAAAGTGTGTACCTAGACAGATAGCGCAACAATAACCAGTGGATTAAAATTACACGGAACTGTGTAGAGACTCGAGGACTGGTCTAGCCCCTCTCCTCGAACCCACACGCATACACATTAGAAATGTGAATAGCAACGTACAATGCGATGTGGCGATAGCGAAGTTGCTTGGCCTGCACAAAACAATGCAAGTCGTGTGGGGAAGCGCTGACAGAGCGATGACAAAGTATGCGGAAACGTCCAGGAGAGGAGCATGCGTGGATACGTAGAGGCATACTCCTGTAACGGACAGCATCTCGTGTACGTACAGGTGCAAGCACGTGCTTCATTCGTTAAGTTTCCTCCTGGACACAACCCCAACCGCAAATATGAAAACAGTTCGGTATCTAAATGACCACCGTCTCTCTTGCAAGTGCTCGTGGGTGTGTGTGCGCAAGCCGCACACCAAGACTAGTCGGACGACTTCTCTGCGCGGCGATACAACACTAGCCTATGTAGTGCAGTACTGGTCTCAGTAGGTCGAGACCTCGCAGTCATCGGCCGTGCGCAGACTCCCTATGCGCCAAGGGCAGTTCACAATCCTCTCACAAGTGCATGTGAGATCGAGTAACGTCAGTTGCAGATGTGGCGTTGACACGCTTACATACGAAACAATCTGATCGGGTACGGTCACTTCCGTGTGCTGTTGCCGTGACCGTAGTCATGACAACCGCTCAATCCGACGTATCCGCCTGACGTCGCTCACTGTCAATTGTTCCGCTCTTGACCTTCTGCCAATACTCGCGCGCCATTTGCAGCGCCGCGTCCTCCATTATCCCCTGGTCCACTCCATCCGCGCTTCTCCACGTCGAGACGTCCGCGTCGCGCTGCGCCCACAGCCGCTTCTCCGCCAGCCACTGCGCAGTGTTCTCCAAATCAGCGCGCTCCAACTCCTGCAGGAACAACTGCGCGATGTGCCGCACATCATCCCCGTTCCCCATGCTCGCTTGTTTTCTTTTCTCCAGTGCCAATATATTCTCCAGTGCTGTTTTCCGCGCCTGGCGCTCCAGCTGGTCCTTGCGCGCCAACCGCTCTAAACTGCTGTATCGCCCCATGCCGCCCGCATTCCGCTGCTCTGGAATTTCTGCAGCCTGCTCCACTTGCTCCACACTCTGCTCCGTCGACTCTCTATGCCCCTCCGTATCCTCCACCCCCGGCTGTTCCCTCGCCTGCACCTGCACCTCTTCCTCCCTCTTTGCCTTCTCTTCTGCCTTCTCTTCTGCCTCTATCGCGCGTAAATTATCCAGCGCCTGTTGCAAAGCTCGTGCGGCGCGTTGAGTGTGCTTTCTGTTTAGCGCTGCGTCTTGCTCGCGCACGTTCCGCATAGCCCGTAACCTAGCCTCTTCTCGTCTGTACCCCTGAATCCTGGCCGTGCCCGTCGTTGTGCCTGGAACCTCCCCTTGCTCCCCTGAGACCACACCTCCACCTGCACTTGTCCCGTTTTCTGGGTCCCTTGGTGCATCCCCAGCGTGTTCTGTACCTGTACCTTCTCCCAACATCGCACCAACAGCCGGATCAGTGACAGAAGTTTTCTGCTGCACTTGACCGTCATCTATCCCTGTTGTCATCTCAACCTTCTGATTGTCCTCAGACTTACCTCCGCTATCCCCTACCAAGCCCAGTCCTCCTAGCTCCTCCGGCCCATCTTCCGCCTCCTCCAATCCCCCCTCTACATGTACTTGATCATGTGCTTGATCCTGTACTTGGTCCTGTGCTTGATCCTGTACTTGGTCCTGTTCTTGGTCCTGTACTTGATTCTGTACTTGATCCTGTACTTCATCCTCCGCTTGATCCTCCGCTTGATCCTGTACTTCACCCTGTTTTTGATCCTGCACTTGATCATATACTTGATCCTGTGCTTGGTCCTGTACTTGATCCTGTACTTGATCCTGTACTTGATCCTGTACTTGATCCCGTACTTGATCCCGTATATCCACGTCTACATTCACGCCACCCTTCCCCTCGGACTCGCTCTCCCGCCCATCTCGTACCCACTTCTCCTCCGTCTCCCACACTGTCTGATCCTCCTCCACCCGTCTCTGTGCCTCCTGCATCTTCTCTATATACCAATCCTGCGCCTCTTGTTGGTCTATCACTTCTCTCTCCATTCCTCCCAACCCTTCCGTCTCCGCCTTCTCCGTGCTTTCCTGCTCGAGTGCCCGAGCGTGTGCGTGTCTATCTCTGTCCGCCTGTGCCTCGGTCACGTGCTCACTCTCCTCAGACTCGCGCAGCGCGTGCATCTCTTGGCCGTTCACAATCGTCGGCTCATTTAGTTGGGAGTCTTCTGTTAGATCAATGAGAATTGGTGGGGAGATGGGAGTGAGTGTAAGTCTTGGGTCAGTTGGCCGGCACTCTTCTGTTGGTGCGATACAATACTAGGTGATGATAAGGTTGCGTGTGTCCCTTTCGGGGGGGAATTATTTCAAGAACGGACCGCATGTCATAAAGAACTAACAAGTAATCAATATGAAGGCGTAGCAATATATATATATATATATATATATATATATATATATATATATATATATATATATATATATATATATATATATATATATATA